GAGGGTGTGCACTTATAGAGGGTGCACTTAGAGAGGTCTGACTGTATAATGGTAACTACAAAATATTCATATAAATATAAATGACTTCTCATTAAGTATACATTTTAAAGGTTCTTACATCATCCATTGGCATTAATGATCTATTTCTTTTATATCTACCAAATCCACCAATATACAAATATTTTCATTTGTCAAAATTATTACATGATATTCCTCCCGAGGTGCTGGTGCATTTGATGCATTGCTTAAACTCCATGGCAATGATGAAGCATTAAATATCCAGAGATCATTTGCTAAAGAAGAATCATTACCACCAAAAATAGAGATTAGTACATTACTGAACTTTGCACATGACATAAGTGTTCTATTCTCAGGTACGCTCCCATTAGATGTAATATTAACCCATTGCTGTTTACTTGTATCAAATCGTTTAACAAAATAATTGTCGCGGCTGATGTTGAAATTTAGGGTCCCTATTTAAATATATAATACCTACTAAAATTCACATATACTCTCTTACTAACAACGTTAACCCTAAAAAAAAAAAACCTAACAGAAGGCCCAAAAAATTTTAAAATTTCATAATAAAATAGGTCAAAATTTCAGCATCAGCCGTGACAATAATTATCATATTCACGACCACCAGAAATAAAAATCTGGTTTCGATTCCACCAAGACAAGCTGTGACTCTATTTTTAGGTGGAGGATCAGTAAAAGTAAGTCAACCCATGGTATTGACGCATTTTCAGTTAGTGTGAATTGTTTAGAAAGATTCAAATAAAAAACTCTCGGTCAGGATTGGTGTTACCATAACCACCGCCAAAATAGATTTTACTATCAATAATAGCTGAGAAATGAGTAGCCCTTCCGGAAGGAACAAAATTACAAAATTAGCGAAAGCAGAAAGCTTAAAAATAGAGTGAAAATATAAATTAACAAATAATACATATTTATAAAAGAGAAATTCTACTAAATATCAATTCTTAATGGTAAAAATTCTATACCATATTTTCGCTTAATAACGCCCACCTGCGCGTTATTTTGAGCATATGAGCGTTGTTTTGAGACAATTAAAAAATTTTATGTAATTCTTTTATAAAAGTAAACAAACAAAAATACTAGATTTAGTACTGAGTAAACCTTCCTTCGAGCTTTAACAAAAGTTGTTCTGAAAAACAACTTTTGTTGAAGTTCGAAGGTTTACTTAAACATCCCCTACTATGGGGTGCGCACTATTTTGGGACGCGCATGAGCGTTATTTTGAAACTATATATATTATTTTTAGGGGACACGATTTCGAAATAACGCTCATGAGTGTTATTACGCGAAAATACGGTATATACAAAATCACGGGCATATGGAATTTGTCGACCAAATTATGAATGTGCAACCAAATTTGTTATTACAGTGCCCGACAAAAGTTTCCCTGCACCTAGTAGAACTTTTAAAATGATTTGCGTCAGGGACACGGAAAATTTTGGAAATAAATTTTTCCAAAATTTTCCTAATACTTGTTCAAAGAGAATTTCTATATGTACTGTACACTACGTGTATTAAATGCAACAAGGATTACGATAATGCAATACTGCATTATTATTGAAAAATAATGTCTTACATTAAATAAGTGTATAATGGTTTAACCAAGAAATTTAAATACAGTAGATACCTTCTAAAAAAATAATTAAATTGTCTAATATTCGGATTAATACACGTAATGCCTGATGAAACTGATGAAGCCTGACGAAACCATAGGCTCGTCATTGACGAATTGATAAAGCCATAGATTTCATCAGTTTTGTCAATTTCGTCAGGCATCTATATTAATCCTTTACGAAAAAATATTTTTTTCAGAGTTTATAATAACTTTAATATCGTATTTTCGCGTAATAACGCCTACCTGTGCGTTACTTTAGTACGCGTATATAAGTTATTTTGAAGTAAAGATTGATCGTCCGAATATAAAAGCATTAATCCAAATATGTGCGTTATTTCAGGACGCGCACGGGTGTCATTTCGAAACCATGTTATTATGTGCTAGGGTTGTGGCGCAGGCAAAATTTCTAAAGTTCAGGCTAGCATTTGGAACAAGGTTAAAAGATTAGACAGTTATATACTAAATCGTTCAAGAAAGCTTTTTGTTAGAGCACTAAAGGTGGTTTTCTATACAGATTTTTGATAAACGATTTTGACAAGATGATCGTTTATCTTGAAACTTCTTGATCGTGTTACGCCATAACTTGATCTTTGAAATCTGATTTTCAAGTGATGCAATTTTCATGGGTATTACAATATTACGGCAAGTTTTTTATAAGACGCATTTACAATATATAATACCGTATTACAAATATTGAACTTCTCAATAAAATCACCAATATGATTTTATTTTTAAAATGTGTATTTTTTCATTAATCCTAATAAATTTATTGTTTTTATTTTATCTATTTATGAATATAATACCAGTAAAACAATCAGTTCGGTCAGTTAAATTGACCGGACCAGTATCAGTCATGGTCATGACCAGTCATGACCGGTTGTGACTGTGACAGATAGCGTTCTTACATCTGTTCTAGATATGCCTCCTTTAAGTAAAATAATGTAATCAAAAAAAACTAAGTTGTTATTTTCAATTTCTTAATCCTAAAAAACAATGAATAAAAAGCCAACCTGACTCGTATTAGTAAACGGATTTATATCTTCATTCAACAGCTTTTGTGTATCAACCAAGTCATATTCTGATACCGGCGTCATACTTCTGCCATCCGAGCATGTCTCTGGTGATTTTGTTCCATTGTAATTGAGCTGCGGGTGTGTAAGACTTCTTGAAGAATGATTTATGTCTATTAAGTAAGACAATGAAATGTTAACATAATAATTCAATTAAGCATCGTCCAATAAGTTTTTTTTTTTTTTTTTATCATTGCAGGTAATAATGATTTCGACAGCCTACTTGATTCAAACCATTCATTCTGCAGAGCAATCACATACAATTGTTATCGTATAATTAGAAATTGTTGAAACAAGTAAACTTAAAGATGCTGACATTAGAATATGAAATAAATTAGGAATAGCTGCGGCTAAAGTAGCTACCCAAATTTTATATGACGTAAAAGGGTATCCACCCCTGATCTGAGAAATGTCCGCACCTCCTGTTTAAACCATTACACCAGTATGCAAAATAATGTTAACACCTACTTGAAATGATAGAAAATTGTGGCACATTGTGCCTATGTAATTTGTCTCCATAAGTATATTGCTAAATATATACAATCGACACGTGATATTTGGTAATGTTATATAGAACTTACGTATCCTTGTTTTTTTGATCAAGCAACGATTTTGTATATCGCTGTGTGCTATTGTGATTCAATAATTCTTGTGGCTGAACGGCCTATAAATAAATTTATCAAAAATTATTATAAAAAAAATAAAAATAAAAATGTAAAATATATATTTACCGCTTGCCGTAAGTTCGCAATTTCGGCATCATAATGCTCTATTTTAGCTTTAAGATCAATTATCACATTATGTAAAGATTGAATCTCATTTTCTAATGCGCGTCTTTGAAATCGATCTATATTGAAACATAATAAACTTGGCATTGCTATTTTCAGATTTAATGTTAAAGTTAATTATAAAATACAAATTTAAATTTATGTATTTATGTGTGTATGCTAACAGCAGTACAAATTTAAAATATCTATCTGATTTTCTCATTGGCATATAAAACAGGATACGCATATTTTGAAATATAGTATTTAGGAAATTATGTAACGACGCTGTAAATGTCTCTAACCATTGTTTTGTAAAAAATGGTTCAAAATATGGATCTGCTGCTGGGTTTTTTGAAAACGGCAGTCCTTATCAAAAAAAAAGAGAAAGACCAATTAGAATCACCATCGCTTAAATAGTCTTTTCACATTGTCAGAAACATAATAATTTAATAATTCTTACTTACCAAACCACTTAGACCATTCCGGATTTCCATTTAAATCTGTTTCAAACGTGTCAAAGAACTCTAGTACTTTTTCTTTACGTCTTTGTTGTGTTGCTAATTATTTCATCATTTAAATTAAAAATATTAAAATAAAATTAGCATCGCCAGAATTCCCTTTCGTCACCACCTAGATCAAAGGCATACCCCTAACCATTAACACAAGCATAATTCTGCTACCGTATTGTCGCGAATAACGCACAAGGGTGTAATTTCAAATTTTGGCCTAATTAAGCTTAATTTGGGCCATTATTCTAAAATAACGCTCATGTGCGTTATTTCGCGACAATACAGTATTTCAAACGGAATATCAAAATAATCATGTATTTTCAAATTACCATATACAAGATAATATCTCAAAAGAGATATTTTAAACTTCTTAACACTTCCAAAATATCTAGCGTCTAATCTCGAAAAATATCTTATATTTAAATACTCCCAATAATCAAGTAATCCATTTATATCACTGTTTGTTATGAATGAATATAACTCTTCAATAATTTTTTCAGCCTATTAATTATGCAGTACAATTTAGTAAAACAATATTATTCAGTACTACGTAGTCAAAAAAAACAAAAAAAACAAATAGACATGACCTAAAAGTCAAATGTTATAATAATATTTACTTGAAATCCTTTATCTCTATCATTTCGACATTCTGTTTCAAAAGACCGAAATGTAACTGAAAACCCTCTAAACTATTATTCCATTCGTAAAAAAAGGAATATAAATTTTTAAAGGTCATTCTCGAAACCCATCATCTCTCTGTAGTCTTTTAAAAACAAACTCAAAGCAAGAAAAACGTACTAGTAAATATTCTTTAATGAGTTCTTCTATTGGTTGAATAGAATTCATTATTCAAGCTTAGTGTGAAGCGAAATTCTTTTAGAATTAAAATAAAATGGTCGTAATTATATATATATAAGATCAGTAGTCCCGTGACTGATTTTATAGAGGATCAAGGCACGTGCGAAAAATTCCATAAATGCATCTGTCGTGTTTGGGTCGGCGGATTTGCAACAATTGCAGAATGTACAATAGCTGATATTTTGGTATCGGCTTTACAATAACATTGTTAAAATCTATAGACCCTAACTTAGGCAATTCCGCAAATTCGCCGATATGATTCGAAGCTCGTGTATTTACAAGGATATACAATAAGAAACCACTTTTGTGAGCATGATTCTCTAAATGTTATTGATTACAAACATAGTAATCGATGTCGGTGTTGGCATTTGGACTATGTTCACTATGTTCAATAAAAAAATTCATTTGAACACGGACATATGGACATATACAGAAATACCTCCTATATAAACACATTTTCTTTATAAGCATATCTTTAAAAACAAACTATATATGGGCTGCCGTTAATAGAAATCAAGCAGATTGACATTAAAAAGAATTAATCCCTTAACTTTCACTACTTATGTCTCGACGAATTTTGAGGCTATCCTAATGAATTATTATTCAAAAGAAAGTCTAGATCTTGAGCTTTCTTTTGAATATTAATTCGTCAAGATAGCCTCAAAATTTATCGAGATATAAGTTATGAAAGTTAAGAGATTAATTTTTTTTTAAATGTCAATGTCAATCTGTTTGATTTCTATTGACAGCAGCCCATATTATTAAATATATATAACGATAATAAATTTGACCTCTATAATTGTCACATTTCTCTACAATCACACACTTTGTATCCTAAGAGTGTGATTATAGAAGGGTTTAATTGTAAATAAGATTTCATATGTCCAAATTTGTCCAAATGAAAATTAATACGTGGATGTTAGGATTGAAGACCCTGAATAATACATACAGATAAATTTTAGATAAAAAAGTTACTTTTTTACTAAAATGTTATATTTGAAAAGCGGTTATTTGCCAAAAGGTTATATTTAAAATTGGATAAAAGCTTTTAATGTTATGTTAAAAATGGATAAATTTAATAAATTTTAGATAGGTTATATTCAGGGTTGGCCAAGTTACTGGTCGACCAAAAATTCATTGGTCAAACTGGTCCGGTCAAATGGTCTAGTCAAATTGGTCAAATAGTCCAGTCTATTAATTAAATAAATTTAGTATACAAAATAAATACGTACTACGTATATATATATATATAAATATGTATGCATATGTATACTATATACTGTATTTAAATATCCTTTGACCAATTTAACCAATACTAAACCTTTTGACCAACTGGTCAAATTGGTCAAGCTTGACTATTGACTGGTCTGTGCAAACCCTGGTTATATTTGAAATTTGAAATAACAAAATTTTTTTTGAAAAGAAAAAAAATATTTGTTATATTTGTTAAACGGGTAAAAATTACTTAAATTAGCTCTAATAATTCAGCAGAACCGAACCGAAGAACCGGAACCGACTCCCGATTCGGTTCCGGGTACATCATTTTTAGAATAATTCGGTTCCGGGTCTCAATTCATACCCGAATCGTAATACCCGAACCTATGGTCTAATCTTGTGTAGCAAAAAGAAAATAAATTTTTTTTTACTTTAAAACGGGCATACATCACGAAGTTGTTTTTATGTAGAGCTATGTAAATATTTTATGTATATTTTATTTAAAAATTATGCATAAACCCAATGATACATAATAATTCAGTGTTGGTTTGACCAGACTAGTTTGACCATTGGACCAGACCAATTTGACCAATTTGACCGGTCTGGTCAAATTAGTCAAATAGTATATTTAAATATAATTTTATTATATAATATATATATATATTATATTTATATAATAGATTTGACCAATCTGGCCAGTTCGACTATTTGACCAATTTGACCAGACTAAGTGGTCGACCACTAATTTGCCCAACACTGCCAGCCAATAAAAACTTGAGCAAATTCAAAATCGGAATTTGAAAAGTGATAATCAAAATTGATAATCAAAAAAAGTGATACTTTTTGTAAAAAAAAAAAAAATTATAAAGTTAGTGGAAGTTAAATATTTTTTTATTTGTTGATTTCTACATTTTCAAGTAACTAACCATTTATTTCAAAAAAGTGTCTTCTGGATACGGTATAGCGGGCGGTCGTGGTAGATGTTTCGTTTTTTGGCAAGAGTTCAGAAAATGTTACGCTATGGCGGACCGCCCTGAGGAATGCGCATTACAATTAGATGATTATTTTGAATGTTTGCATCATACCAAAGAGGTATTTAGAAGACCGTCCTGTAAACAGTAATATTCAAGTATTCGATAAAAGGTATAATAAAACCTTATTATTAAATAGAAAGCACGAGCAAGAGCAATTAAAGCCGAAGAAGTAAAACAAATTGAAAAGAAAAGACAAGAAGATGAAAAAGCACGAAAATCTACAAATTCAGCCGCAAAAAGCAATGTTACGCGTTTAGGAATTATAGATGATCAAAAATCATCGTCAACCTCTAATTAAACAAAAACTTTAATTGAGTTCGAAATTTAAAACGGTACTTGGTATACAAGCGCTACGTGAAAGATTACATTTATTAATTGCAAAATTATGTAATTCTAAATAAATGTAACAGAATTTTTTTTTTTTTTTTTAATGGAAAAAAATAAAGTTATCCAGTGTCTTAATTTAGTGCGAGTTGACACTCAACGCATTAGTTTTACTTAATAAAACGACAGAGCTATATGGACCGCTAGTTTGCAAATGCCGAAAATGGATAGTAGAACAAGATTGATGAGATATTAAGAGCCAACCATCTGTACGATAAATTCGTTTGTTCTCACTTATTTATGATCCTTGTCGTTCAATATTATCGGTTAGACTAAGCTAATAAAAATTATCGGCTTAGCTACTTTGGTAATTCTAGTTTTTTATCCGCAAAGCTATTGCGTAGCCGCTTCTTAACAATGAAAACATTCGCCATCTGCTTGACAACCGTCTAAGCCTTCAAGCTTTAATTCTACTATTAATTATCTTTTGTTCGTGTAAGTTTAATCTTCAGCTATAACGAGAAGTACCATTCGGTGCCATCAGGGAAAGCCGCATTTTGGGCTTTTAAAATTTGTAATTTACCGAACTCAGCATGATGATTTTTTAGGAACTGAGTTCGGTAAATTATAAATTTAAAAGCTATTTTCTCTCGGCGGCACCCATTTGTTTAATTCAACAATTCAATTTGCAGAGTAATATATTCTATGAATATAGTAATATTTATAAACCTTTTAAACATGCGATAGTATATCATGGCGGTTCCAATCTGATAGAGTTCTAAAAAACTACACTACTATCAAATAAGCCACGGCGTAAAAATTTGGCAGTCCCATTTACTGCCCAGTCCGATTGTAAAATTAATATGCAAACATAGTATTCAAAAAAAAAAAAGATAACTTGCATAGCAATTAGCGTTAGCTTTCGATCATTGAGTAAAAGGTTTTTCAGCATAAATAATGTCGAGAGCAACATTATCGTTAATTACGGGTCATGACTTTAGATTCCCATCATAACTTAGCGTTGTTATGAGAAATAGACATCGGATCTCTTTTAAGAACCTTATCACGGCAGTCACAGGCATGTCATCATGGCATGCCTAAAAACAAAATAGTTATAATGATAAGGCATATAGTCAACGAATAATGCAGTAATGTTAACAATTACTTGTACAGGAAGATCCTATCGAATTAGAAATAATAAACCATAGAATTATTCGATCGTAAACCAAATAACACGAAATTACGCGACCGATTTACAGGAAAAACATTAGATAGAATATTAAAATTCGGAAGACATATCTTTATTATTTAAAACTTTCCCTTAAACCATCAAATTAACTGATCAATCAAATTTGCCCGGAAAACGGTTTAAGGGATAGTTATTCACAATAATTACAATTTATTGTGCTAATGTAATCGGGTATTCGTGATATTCACAAAAATTTTTTTGCTGGTTATTTTCAACCATTTCGAAAACCAACGTTTTAAACTTAATTATTCCTAAGAAAGGAAAAAGAGCATATTACATAGTTATCTGTTAAATTTTTTCAAAAAAAAAAAAAAATTTTCGCTTGATTGTAATTTCAAAAATCATAAATTATATAATGCTACTGTGAATAGAAATTGGTTTGCTTAAAGCAGGAAACAATTTATTTTTAACGTTAATGTAAAAATAAATTAAACAGAATTTTATACTGTATCCGATTTTAGATAAGAAACTAGAGGACGAGGACATGACTTTGTCACCCATTGATCAAATTCTATTGTGAAGATGCATGTACACATGTAACATCGATATCACGACCAGTACAAAATAATAATAGACTAACATTCTTTTCCCTACAAGCTACTAACATTTCTTGTGAATGCACACTTTCTATAGCAAAAAGATATTAAATTTAAACATATAGTTAACATGCAGATCAAAATCATGATAAAAACTTGAACGAAAATTAGTAAATTCACAATTAAAAATGATGGAATATTTTGATAGAGCTTGGAACCGGATTTTCTTACCCGTACGTACGTACGGGTAATCCTTTTTATAAAACTATTTTCTAGATTTTAGTTTGCGGATAATCCGGATAACCCTACGGGTCACAGATTATTTTGCAACCGGATAGCTACAGATAACCACGGGTAATCTTAACACCAGGTTTTTTTTTTTTTTATGATAGCCACGATAGATTTTAGCTGATCAAATTGTTTTTAATGTTCTGTCTCTCTCATATTGTTCCTTGTCCTATAATATGGATAAAAATCTCTGAAGATGATATTATGTATCAATGATTCATTTTCAACAAAATGGTTTATTAGAGAGATGACCATAGAACCAATCGAATTTGTAGATGTATTTACGAAGAAGGCCTTAGTAATGCTAAGTTATGCTAGATAAGTTTTTTGAGATTCAAGCTTGGTCATATTAAATTATATTACTTACATTAAGTTATTTACGTATGTTTCATTTTCATTAAATTTGTATAGTGATCTGATATTGAGTATTTTCAAGGGAAAATGATCATTTAGATTCAGCCTTGCTAGTAATGTATATGATCAGATTTTTTATGAGCTGAATTTGATAAATAATAAATGATAAGCCTAAAGGCCCAAAGTTTCATTTTCACTTTGCGGATGACTTATTTTAAACATATTGGAGCTTGATTAAATAATCTTTTTTATTTTTTGAATTTATTAACTAATAGATAGTCTTAAATAGCCATTAGCCAAATTATCGCTCTTTCGATTTAGTTGGATTGAATGATCGAGTCCTGTGATTACAAGATGGCAGTCACTCCAACTTCGTCTTATTTCATGAGACTCATTTTAATTATTCATATAATTTCCCTTTAATCGATAAATGAGTATCACGAATATAAGGGGCTATCTTTGTATTCACGGGACTAAAAAAAAATTACGAATATTGTCGATCAAACTAAATCGAAAAGAGCTGGATAAAATGGAATTAAGTCACAATGTATAGTAAGTGTTTACGAACTTGAATAGTTTATTTTAATACACAATTAATAAATATGTTTACACTTACTGGCAAATCAATGTGAATATAATAGAGTACAATATATTAAATACTCATGAATTCGTTTATATTTTTATGCTAAAAAATTTTTCGTTACGATCAAATAGGATAGAAGTTATGGGACCAACCTTTTGTGCTATAATAAATGGATACTGGTTGACTCACGATAATCCGAATTTTTGCAGTAAACTTCTATGTTATGTACGTACGCACGCACTAGGATCTTGAATATCCGATCAAAAGTTCGAATGACGTGATATATCTGTATATTAATTCTAATACATGGACATCTGAATTTTTTATTTTACTGCACAACTAGAATACGTTCCTTTCAATTATTATTGTGAGGGACGAATATTGAAAGTTTTTAAACTAATATTATGCCGTATTTTTATAAGTCCTGTAGGCATATTTTACCGTATATTACACTAATTATTTCATTTTGGAGAATTATTAGTTTTGGATGTCGAAATCCAATTTTGTTATGCAATTGAAAAATACGTGCAAAATGTTTATTATAATATTTTCTAGCATTTAAAGTTTTATATTGTAGAGTTAGTTTTTGTGTTTATAAAATGGTGAGTCAATAGAAATCAAGCAAATTTTATAATAAAAATTTTTATAACTTTAAACAAGAATAACTTAACAAAACCTTGATCAAATTTAATTAAAGATTTTTTTAAATAATTTTCACAAACTTGTAGAATTATTTTAAAAAAATTTTATTAAATTTGATTAAGTTTTTGTTAAGTTATCCTTGTTTAAAGCTTTTAAAAAACTTATTAAAAAATATTTGCTTGGTTTCTATTGACTCAACCCCAAATAGTCATTTAGTTCAAAGCTTTTATTGTATTATAATGTTTATTAAATAGTAAAACTTTATTATATTAGAAAATATTCATTCTTCTATTTCGAATAGGTAATAGTCTTATTCAATAACATTTAAAATGGTATCAGCTTACCTTTATCATCTTTACACAGTCTCAAAGGAAGCCAACCTTAATTTTTATTATGATAACCAATATATATATATTTATTCGTTGCAATTATGGATCATCTTCATTATCAATGTTAATACATACCATATTCTTCTGTCAACCTTTAATATTGATGATTTATCGAGCGCTAATGTACGCGTACGCATAAATAGTACTTTGTGTTCGATAATAAATGGGTACAAACTCAGTTTACTAATCGTCTAAACAAAAAGCCCTGAAAGCATTTTAACTCAATGGAGTATTTAGAATTAACAACTCCACTCAATGATATTGTTTTACCGACTGCATGGGATATTGAAAATAATTCGCATTAATATAGATTCAAATGGACTGAAAGTGAATTATACTGGTAAGATAAAAATGAGAAAAGAGAAATCTCACAAAAAACATTTCAAATTTAATGAATATTAATTGTTTGTAGTTTAACTAAAGAATAATACATAACTGCTAATTTTAATGTAATGTGATTATTAAAATTCGAATCACTAACATCACAAATTCCGCCCATATGTTTTACTCATGAACAGCGTATAAAACTGATAAGTAACTGATAAGTAACTCATAAGCAATTCATAAGTAATTTTACAATCACTGGCAAATAATCACTTTTAATCTTAGTAATCACATTATATCATATATATTATTGGCTATGTCCATTCCAATTACAGCAATGACTAATGAAGACATTGATAAAAAATCAAATAATAAATCAGCATTAGAAGATCAAGAAAAGATTTATTATATTATAGGTGGAAACGAAAATATGTTGGTTAATTTAACAGGCGAATTAACAAAATCGTTATAAAAAAAAACAAACCAATATATTTGAATTAAATTATCGAAGAAAAATATATTTATATTATGGTGAATATGACAAAGCAGTAACTAGATTACTAAAAATTGAACCAGATAATATAACAGTATTAAAATATAGAGGAGAGATTAATTATATGATGAAAAGGTATAATGAATCAATTGCTGACTTGAGGAAATTGCTAGAAATTAACCCAGAAGATACACGGACATGGAAGACCATAACTTAGTTAAAGAATAGTAAGCAAATGCGTGTTTGTAAGTTTTTTAATGAATTTTTGAAATTTTACAGTAAGTTACTATAGACATCAACGATAATGCCAATGCAAACTAACATTAACTACATGCTGTGCGTCACCGCAACAGTAAGTTTTTTAATTGAATTTTTCCAGTATATGAC